TTCCTGGATGGGGACCCCGAGACGGGCCACATCAATGGCTGGAGACATTGTCAGACATGGCCTAGTCGCGCCCTCAATGGCGCCCGTGCATCCAAGCAATTGCCTTCAATGCATAGCTCCTTTTCCAACCCCCCCCCCCACACACACACACCTGACAGCCCACTGCACTTATCCCTCCCCCCCAAAAAAAAAACATCGGTGAACGGAACTGCGGCAGCTGCAACCACCGTACGACGAGTACGCGGTTCTTACAGCTGACAATGATGACGGGTATTCGGGCACCCCCTAAATTCGAGCTCCATGTCTCAGCCGACCTATATACGAGCTGGTTTGGGATGCGGGTTTCGACAGACATTGCGAATGAAATTCACGTCTCGCTGCTGTCCAGTAGCGAAGACGGCACGATAGCCCGATAAGACCTCAAATGATGGCCGTCCCACGAGCCTTTCTCAAGGCGACCAAACGCCATGCTGACTTCTGCAGTTGGTGTGTTTGTTTTATTACCAAGTGGCAGACTTGCCAAGATAGCGGAAATGCTATCTCACAATAATTTCGCTGAACACAATGTTGAACCGCAGACTGATAAAAGACAAGCGATTTGGGACCAAAATGCAGGTGAACCGAACGTCACATTCAGCCACTGTATTTCCGTTTCGAGTTGAAAAAATGCAACGCATTTGTCCGCAAAAGACCAAATACTAACACTGGACTAGCGCAGCGGTGTTTTGACCAGGAAACATTTCAAGCTGACTAAATAAACATTGGCGATGGCAAAAACCATCCTGCGCTGGGATGCTGGATAGGGCGAGGGAAAGAACACAGCCCCGCTTAACGCTGGTATCGATTTTGAAATGGTCCCCGCACGCGGTGTGTGAGCTTTGTGTAGGAAGAGCCACAGTGCTTCTCTGCAGTTTGAGTCCAAGGCCGTGTTGAAATCTACAAGCAGTTCGACAGAAAGTCAGTCAAAAAAATAATTAAACCGCTTCGAAATCTACGTTGCTTTCCACGTACGAATGCCAATGAGCACGGTATGAGATGGATCCTGCTGTAGGTGAGCCCCCTGCTGAACCCTTTGAATTCAACGTCTGGCTCACTAGGTATCAGGGGGTCACCCTAGCCCGAGATCGTGGAGAGCAAGACACCGCGCACAGCAGGCGCCGTTTGAACTGCAACGTATTTTCGATTTGTAAAGTTACTTCGACCGTATTGGATAATGCACCGGTGGTCACGACCAACCTCTCAGTGATCGCCGTGTGCAGTTTTATTGGGGGCCGATCCATTTTATCTCTTCACTGCTCGCAGGAAGACAGAATCGCCGGTTCCATAAAAATCGCACTTCTATTGCAGCAAACAGTGTGATTTCAACTCCAGACTGCCTCGTACTACGATTTATAGTAGTGCAGAGACTTGTTGCCCTCCACCGAACTTTCTGGCCTGGTTGAATTTTAAAGAACTGAGTTTCAGCTAGTCACTCAGTGATTTACTGGATCAGTAGAGCAGCGAAATCAGATCGCCATACAAGATGACAGCTTTGAGCTGGGTCCGGAGATAACAGTATATATCAACTGACCGTCTGAAAGTAGACAGGACAAAACCCACTAGCAACATCACATTGCTATTCAAGTAAATGTATGTGAGTGTGTAGAACTCCAATTACAGTTGACCAATAACAGTCAATATTCACTGCTAACTGATGAAAATTAGATCGCGCCGCCTAAACGGTCCATCAGAAAAGTAGCCCAAAAGTATCCAGTGAATTGATGCACAAACCGGACCTCAGCACTACCAGTGAGAAGATGCAATCGACGGTTAAGATCGCAGTGGGAGTGCGGTATTCGTTGGCTGAATGATGTATGGAAAATGTTCAGTTGACCTGGACTTCTTCGGTTAGCCAAGTCTCAAAAGTGAGGAAGAACATTAACTGAAAAATTGATGGATTTTTCGAATTTCTATCGTGATTCAAAAGCGATTCAACTACTGTGGTTGGGGTGGAAAGCAACGTGTGTCAGAGTAAGCACATTTGAGTTCTACCCCTTGACTTTCCGAATCCTCTTGAAGAAACGTGAGATTTACACTGCTGATGACTCCCAACAAGGACGAAACAACTCTTAAGTTGTTTCACTCACTGGACGAAACAACCCTAAAGTTGTTTCACTCACTGGACAAAATCTCGACCGAAATTTGCAAATATCTCCATACAGTCAACAAGATATAAGTAGCTCAGAAGGACCCATGAGGAATGGATCTTTCATCACAGAAGTTGCCACCCGAGGACCTAGTCAACACGTGTGCGACGTGATGTGGATTCTGCTATTAAAGAATGAGTGGCTCTATATCTTGTCCAAGTGCCATTTTATGCCACTGTCGATCAGCCGCTGATAGTCGAACGGCTCAACTTTCAATTACAGGCCGCATATCTGCTAGTAAATTCATGAGATGCGAACCGGGGATGGAACAGCTGAGAAGTGTCGCTCGACTTTTCAACGAAGATCTTTGCTAGTAGATGCATCTAACAGTTTTTCGAGTGCATCAAAGGACAAACACGCATTAGGAATGATGTCAAAGTCGATTCAGGAGTTCAGTACTCGACCAGCGTCGAACCATGTGTCTGCCCACGCAAAAGTGACGGAGATATAAGTGCATACCGGTAGAGGGTCAACGTATGGCGCCCCCGCCAGCTTTTCACGTTGATTCTAGAGCGTTTTCTCTTGAATATCAAGAAGCATTCAGTGAATCACCAATAGTGCCTACAAGCAGACAAACATTGAGAGAACGAAGCGAATCCGCGAAA